CCCGCCAAATATTCCAGTGAAGAGTAGTGCACTAGCCCATGTGAAAGAAAGGAGCAGTCAAGCACAAGAGTCAAAGACAAGAAGAAAGAAGAGTTACGGACAGTGACACACAGAGGAGCACCACTGGCGTTTGATATGATATCAGCAGATCGAGCCACATAAGCCACCAGCAAAGCATAGTGAATGAAAAGGTATGCCAAGCTGCCAGTAACACAAGGTGAGCTCAAAGAATGGTGCGTATTAAAGGATAGAAACCTGGCAAACCGAACTCCAATCGCTCCTAAAGTTCTCTCAGCCATGGAAACCTGTTGAAAGCAATCGGCAATCAGCAGACATGTCCTAGAACTGGAAAACAGCTTACAATCGATACGCCACCGGAGCCAAGTTCACACATAGTGCTCACGTTAACTTCTGCTACTAGCAATCCCGTAGCAACCTGGGAACTAATCTTCCACTCAACCAGTCGAATAATAATGGAAATCTTCCATACCATGTATAGCCAGCAAATGCTGCAAGTTAGAGATGATGCTGCGAACCCAGAACCGGGATCGTATGTTGGTGAGGTCGTCAAAGTGATGGGAAAGAGCAAAGTTCTTGTGAAGGTATGTAATTTTTTTTCTCCTCCTTTCTGGCACTTTAGAGTATTTTTTTCTTCTTGGTGGAACTTTAAGTGCACCCAGAAGGAAAGTATGTCGTAGATGTTGACAAGAGCATCGACATGAGCAAGATCACTCCCACCACTCGAGTTGCTCTTCGAAACGATAGCTATGTGCTGCACTTGATCCTTCCCAGCAAAGTGGATCCTCTCGTGAATTTGATGAAGGTTGAGAAGGTCCCGGACTCCACGTACGATATGATCGGTGGGCTTGACCAGCAAATCAAAGAGATCAAAGAGGTCAGTTTTGGCTATGCTTTTCCCTTCGAGGTTGAGTTTCTTATTTCATTTCTTTCTCAGGTTATTGAGCTTCCGATCAAGCATCCTGAGCTTTTTGAGAGCCTGGGTATTGCACAGCCGAAGGTAAAATTTTGCTAACAAAAGTTTGGCTTTTGGTACCAGCATCTATTCTTGTCTTCTGCTGTGCAGGGAGTGCTACTGTATGGCCCTCCTGGAACTGGAAAGACTTTGCTGGCTCGGGCCGTGGCTCACCATACTGACTGTACATTCATAAGAGTTTCAGGGTCCGAGCTAGTCCAGAAATACATCGGAGAAGGGTCGAGGATGGTGCGAGAGCTTTTCGTCATGGCAAGGTATCGTAATGTCCATATTCTATCCTAGTATAGTTACGTTTTTCTGTGTTTTCTTAGAGAGCATGCTCCATCCATTATCTTTATGGACGAGATTGACAGCATTGGCTCGTCCCGTATGGAGTCTGGCAATGGCAACGGGGACAGTGAAGTGCAGAGAACAATGCTGGAGCTGCTCAATCAACTGGATGGTTTCGAGGCCTCCAACAAGATCAAAGTTCTCATGGCTACAAACAGGATCGACATCCTTGATCCCGCTCTCCTCCGGCCCGGACGAATAGACCGCAAGATCGAGTTTCCAAACCCAACTGAAGAGGTATTTCCTGGTCCTTTTTTCTGTTCTTTCCTCACGCGCTCGTTTTTCCAGTCCCGTCTGGATATCCTCAAGATCCATTCGCGCAAGATGAATCTAATGCGGGGGATCGACCTGAAGAAGATCGCCGAGAAGATGAACGGTGCCTCGGGAGCGGAGCTAAAGGTTTGTGATGCTCGCGCTTTAGTTGGTCCTTGACGACGGAGTGTGTTTTTTTTTTTTTTTGCTCTCCAGGCGGTGTGCACGGAGGCTGGAATGTTTGCTCTGCGAGAGAGGCGCGTTCATGTCACCCAGGAAGACTTCGACATGGCGGTGGCCAAAGTGATGAAGAAGGAGACCGAGAAGAACATGTCTTTGAGAAAGCTATGGAAGTAGTAAATCAAAATCTCTA